GATGGCAGGGATCTGGACGACGTGTGGCATGGCAGGAAGTTCTGGTGGGTGTCCCTGCTCTGATGGCCTCACCTGTGCATCAGGCCCTTCCGGAGTCTTTAATCAAAATGTGCACGCGATGTGCCACCCGCCTGGGTTTCCAGGCCCTGCCAATCTCCGCGTTGCAGCCCAGCCTTTCTAAATGCATCTTCTTCCACCTGCTGGCACTGAGGTTCTAAACCTTTCGGAGCCAAAGCACTTCCAGAAGCCGGGGAGCCCCCTCCGCAGAAAAATGTGCACCCGTGAGCACACGAGCAAAAAGTGGCATAAGCTTTCAGGGGGCTCCCTGACCCCGGATAAAACTCCTTTGTCTAGTAGGGTGAACCAGACGTGACTTACCTCTTTCTCAGCTGTTGGATATTTAAATTCCTTCCCCCCTTTCCTCCATTATAAAAAGTACTGTGATGAACATCTCCGTGCAAATGTGTTTCATTTCTGTAGTTCAAATGACTTCTTAGAACGCGTCCCAGAAGGGGCGCCTGGGTGGCTCAGTCCGCTAAGCGTCTGACTTCGGCTCAGGTCATGATCTCATTGTTTGTGAGTTCCAGCCCTGCGCTGGGCTGTGCTGACAGCCCGGAGCCCGCTTTGATTCCTGTCTCCCTCTCTCTCTGCTCCTCCCCAGCTCGTGCTTTCTGTCTCAGAAATTCATAAAAACATTAAAAACAATGCATCCCAGAAGACATTTGATTTAAGAGGCAGGAGCCGTGTTCCGCTCCTCCTACACACGGCCGATGCACTTCCTGGGGTTGGGGGGGTGGGTAATGGCCTGACACACAGGGTCCCCACACGGGTCCTTCCGTATTACACCCTCACCCACTGGCCCTTTAGATTGGACAGGGTAACAGTCAGGATAGAAACAAGTGACGGGCTGGCCACCATCCTCACCTGCATGCCAGGCCCAAGCCCTGATTTCTGACGCCGGGGGAGGCACAGCACTGGGGGGTGGGGGGGGGCACAAAACTCAGCAGGAGCAGCCTCTCCCCTTGGCCACCTTGAGTGCTGATTTGGTCAAGGGTTTTGGGGGAGAGGTAGAGCGTGTGGCTTCACGGGGTTGGGGGGGGTGGAGCGTGTGGCTTCGCCATCTAGGAAGCGGGCCCTGCCCAGCCATGCCCCACAGGCAGCACCCGGATGGACACGGCCCTTCCAGGAACCGCCCATCAGGTAAGGAAATGCTGGAGGAGCTTTCGGATGGTGGGGGCGGGGAGTGGGAGGGGGGACCCCATCCCCGCCAGTCACTCGGCCTCTACATGTAGTTCTCCGGTTCTGCCGCTAGAGGGAGCCCGCGAGCCAGCCTGCCTGCCCCCCTCCTGGGGACCCACTTGCCAGTCAGGTTAGGAGCGTTGGCTCCAGGGGGGGCTGTGGACACACGCCAGTCCTCAAAGCCAAGCCCCGCGGCGGGTGTCTGCTCCCACTAGTGCCGGCGCTCTGGGCCTCAGCCCAGACGCCCCCTCTGTCCAGGGCCCGAGGAGCACACCCCTCTTCCCGCGGGCCCCTTCAGAGCTGTGGTCCTCAACCAGACTGCGCACCGGAACCCCCTGGGGGCTTCACACACCGGCCGGCCTGGGCCCCACTCCCAGCAGTGCTGGCTGCATCGGTCTGGGTACCACTTGGGCATCAGGCGCTTTCAAGCCTGCCCGGGTATTCTCCCTTGCAGCCAGGTGGGTCCTCCAGCATCCAACGCGGCCGGCCTGGACCCCAGTCCGGACCCCCAGCCCCATCGCCCGTGGGCACTGCGGGGGGCGGGAGGGGACCCAGGAGCTCCGTCTTTGCTTCCAGCGTCCCCCACGTGGCGGGGGAGACAAGAGCAGCCACGTGGCTCAGAGTAAAGAAGCAAATGTGTACTGCAAGGGCTGGCCCGGTGCCCAACGCTGGCTCCCATCTGCCTCTGAAAAATACAGATTTCAGGGCCCGCCGCAGCACCTTCCAGAATCCACATCTGCTTTTGTAAGCTCCCAGCGACCCGTCACACGTGGCTGGGTCAGGAACACCCGTGGGCCCTGCCTGGGACACAGGCTGTTTCCAGGTCAGCCCGGGAGGAGCTCACGCTCCTGGCCAGCAGGCACGGAGGGGGCCGTCGGCGACCGTCATGTCGCAGCACAAAGCCGCAGCCTGACTGGACTGCTTCGGGCCAGAAGAGCAGGCGTCCTGGGTTTCCAGGGCTCCGTGGTGGAGGAGGCACCCCGACCACACCGCGGCCTCCCTGCACGCCCCGAGATCGGCGCGCTGTCTGGGAAGCAGCTCTAAGCACGGACCCTAAGCGAACCTGGGTGGGCTGCGGCTGGAGCAAAAACAAGGCTCCCGAGCATTATTCCAGGAAGACCACCTGACACGGTAGCCGCCCCCCTGCACCCCACACGCCCCTGCCTTCCCTTGGGGGTCTGTGCAGTACGGAGTGGGGCTCTCCTATCCGATTACAGTCGGCACTGCCTGTTAGTTGGCCATGAGAAGGACGAGGTCCTGACACCTGCGGTGACATGGACACGATGCTCAGACACCAAAGGCCACAGACTGTGCGGTTCCACTACCACGAGACATCCAGAACCGGCAAACCCACAGAGACGGAAGGCAGACGGGTGGCTGCTGGGCTGGGGGAGGGGGAATGGACACTGACCACTCAGTGGGTGTGGGGTCTCTTTCCGGGACAAGGAAAACATTTTGGAGCCAGAGGTCTTTGTTGGACAAGACTGTGAACGTACTAAATGCCACATAAGTGCGTGGCTTTAAGTGGCTACAGTGGCAAAGTTTATGTCAGGTCTGTTTCACCACCATCAGAAAAACAAGACAATGTCCCGCCTCCGGCTGCCCTGTCTGGGGCGCTCAGAACCACAGGAAGGTTCTTGGGCAGGGCCACTCTGCCGTGGGTGGCTGTCCCGGCTATGTGGGGATTTACCAGCAGCCCGGGCGTCCACCTTCCATGTGCCAAACACACCCCCACCCTCAGTGGTGACCACAATGTGTCCTGGCCCTGCCACAGGTCTCCTGTGGCCCCAGGAGACAATCGCGGCTCTAGAAGCATCTGGAGCTTCCCAGGCATCCAGAGCATATAAAAGGTCCCCTGGGGGATCCTCATGGGCACCCAGGGTACAGACCCAGCCAGGCAGAGGGAGGGGAAAGAGGAGGCCAGGAGCGGCTTCACTGGGCAACCCCACAGCGGACGCCACTGTCCCCACGTCAGGAACGGGGAGACGAGGCTCCAGGGAGGCACGGAGCTTTCCCAGCTGGTGCCAACCAGGCCCCCCAAACTCCCAGATCCAAGCTCCTTACGTGATCCGGGGCCCAAAGGGTCCATTACTCCAGGCCCTGATTTGGGTTCTGCCACTACAAACTCAGCCGTGAGGCCACAGGCCAGGCCCAGCACCCCTGGCTCAGAGTGAAGACGGGAGCTCGGAACCTGTCCCTCTACCTGGCCCCGGGGGTGCCGGACAGATATCCCTCCTTCCTCTCCACCGACATTCAGGGGTTTCTGGACACCGGTCCCCTTGGGCACTCACTGCACTGGCAGATGGCACCGCCAGGGGGGGCTCTGACCAAGCCCCGCGGTGGGAAGCCAGGCTTGCGTTTCTTTCCCAGCCTGGCTCCCCGGGGGAAACATCACACCACCAGTGAACCACGTGGGTCCAGCCGACGCTCTCTTCATCGTGTGCCCTGCTCTGTGGCACTCGAGACAAAGGTTAGTCCACCCATGGGCTCTGATGAGTCACACCTTATTGAGGGGATAAAGTCAGGAAAGATTCCATCTCAAATTCCTTCTCCACTGGGCCCTGCGTGACCTTACGCGCTCCGGGTCTGGTGCAGACCCGGCTGGATTCCAATCCCGTCGGCCAGCCTGCTGGCTCTGTGACATCCTGCAAGTTGTTTAACCTCTCTGAGCCTCGCTCTCCCTCCCTACAGACGGGGGTGATGTTAGGACCCACCTCGTGGGGTTTGGGGAGGTCGTGGGTAATCCAGGGCACACGTGCCCGGGGGCCAGGCCACGCTGGACCATCCGTACCTAGCATGTGTGGGGCTCACAGCTCGAGTTCAATAATTGTATGCTGGCTGAATACCACCAGCGCCTAACATCGTTATCACCACTGTTTCCCTGGAATCTAACGGGGGCAGGGACCAGAGCGAAGGAAGGGGCTGCGGAAGTCAGGGGTGGCCCGTCCTGTGCAGCCCCCGCGGCTCTGGGTTCGTGCTGACTACCTGCGAGCCTTGGGCTCGCCCTGAGGCCCCCTAATGATGCCGTGTGGTGGCCTCTACGGGCTTTGACAACCCTTCCTACCAGGTGCATGCCAGGTGAGCTCACTCCTGACGCACCTGACCCCCCGCCAGTGTCGCCCGAGCCCGCGAGGGTGCCAATGTGTCCAGATATCTGGTTCTCCCAGGCTCTCAGGCTGTAGAGTAAATGCTGCCAACATGCCCCCCAGGACTGTGTTCCAGACTCTGACAGCTCGAGGCTCTGAGCAGAAAGGCCGAGGCTTCCCCCACACTGGGTCCGGAGGGCCGGGTCACGTGCCTGGCTGGTCTGCAACGGCAGAGCTCAGAACCTGGCTGGGGACGTTATGTCACATGCCACCAACCAGGAGCCTCTGAGCGTGCTCTCTGACGGCCAACAATCTGCCGTCCCCCCAGCGATAAAAACAGGGGACACCAGGATTCCCAGGCCTGGCCTCGTGGCGTTCAGTCTGCATTATGGGGCAGGTCAGACCCGGCAGGTGAGGCCGCCAAGGGGAGGGGAGGGGAAGGGAAGGGGAGAGAAGGTGGAACCCTCCCTCCCCCCCCCCCCGCACTGCCTTCCCCGTCCCCTTGGACAGCGTCAAATGATGGGACCCAGGGGCCGAGGCCCTGGCGCGGGGAGAGCTGGACCCTGGCCGGCGGGGGCGCACGCGGTCCTCAGCACTCGGGGAGCAGAGCTATGACACACGCACTGCTCCCCAGGACCCCGGGGCCGGGCCTGGGGGGCGGGACTCGGGACTCACCCGCTCTCGCTGTCCAGGAACACGGAGCTGCCGCTGTCCACAAGGGCGGTGCTGATGGGCGAGAGGCAGAAGGGTGAAGAGAAGGCGTCGGAATCTGAGTCGAAGGAGCTGTCCCTGCTCACGCCATCCGCTGAGAGCTCCAGGGAGCCCTCCTCCTCGCAGGCCTCGGGCCGCGGCTCCCGTCCCTCCTCGGTCCCATCCTGCGAGCTGACAGCAGACAGGATCCCAGAGGAGTCGCTGTGGGCTGGCGGCGGAGCCATCCCCAAGCTCTGGGCCAGCTTCTCGCCGTCCTCGGAAGGGGGGGAAGGGCTGACGCGCTCAGCATCCCTGACGCTCTGAGCCACCGCCGCGGTGTCCTCATCTCTGGGGATCAGGGCGGGCCTGGCCTCCGTGGGGGAGGGCTGGCGGGGGGTCCCCAAGCTCTGGGCGCACCGGCCCCGTGGGCGGGGCGTCTTGCGCACGGGGGAGCTCTCGGGGGTGATGTAGCGGAGCGCCTCCTCGTCCTGCCTCTGGATCCGCGAGTTGGGCACCCACGTGAGGATGAGGGTGCTTCCCAGCATCTCGTCCTTCTCCACGCACAAGCACAGGTAGCCTGGGAGGGTCAGGAGGACAGGCGGGTTACACACGGCACCGCTGGGGCGCACGGCTGGGCGGGAGGTGATGAGCCGTGGGCATTGCCTAAGCACCACTCAGCAGATCCGGGGCGCTGGGCCCCCAGGCAGGGCTGCCGTCGCTTTTCCAGGCACGGGGAGCCCTCCTCCGGCTCAGAGCCCACCCTGCCCACTGTCTGGCAGCCCCTGAGTTTCCCCCAGGTCCGGGCGAGCCCAGGGAACCAGGAGTCTGGCTTCACCACCGCTGGGAGGGACAGAGGCTGCAGACTTCATTTCTACTTCACGCAAAACAAATCCGAAGAGGGGTGCTTGGGGGTTGTCCAGTCAGTCATGGCCTCAATATTTCTTCTTTAATGCAGCTTTTTGGAAGAAGGGGCCGTCCGTGAGGTCAAGCACCAGATGGGTGACAAGGACGGAGAAGAGCGGCTCCGCTCCGAGGCGCAGCGAGTGGGGGGCTCTCTGGGCTTCTGGGCACTCAGTCTGGGGGGAAGGTGGCATTTCCTGCCATCCCGGGATGTCCTGATTCCTGGGCCTATCGTGCCAGGTGCCCAGGCCTCCTGGTCTCTGCAAGAGCTGGGCCCTCACACCCCTTGGGGCTCTGAGAACCGGGACCGGAGTCTCTGAGCACCGTTCCCAGGAAACTCAGAGGCTATCAGCCAGTTGTGATAACGGTAAGGTGCAGGTGAGGCCCAGTGTCTCCACACCCTCAGGCTCGGGGATTGGGAAGGGGGCCCGAGGCCTCGGCCCCTGTCCCCCAGCCCCCCGTCACGACAGCATCACCACAAAGCTCTCCAAAGGCTGTGCTGTTCCTTCTGACTTCGACCAGAAGAGCTAACCACTTTGAGACCCAGCCCTAGAACCTCTGCGTCCTGCCCTCGAATCCTCAGGGTTGGCCCTGTGCTCAGGCATCCACAGCGCGTGCCACCGGCATCTCTCCGGGAATGCAGGACCCTGGAATTCCCCAGGAACCCCCTGCTCCCAGGGCCTGATCCTGAGCTGGGGTTGGGGGGCTGCAGGTGGGCTGGGGTGCCCACACATGCACACCCGAGGTCCCTTACGGGGCAGGAGAGAACCGGCAGGGCCCGATGATTCCAAATCTGCACCTGACCATCTGGGTGGCTGTGAAGATAGACTTAGGGAGGCGGGAGGAGGGATCACTTCCAAAACCAGTTCATCAACATAACTTAAGCCTCTTGTATTTTAATAAGCTTATTGATTCAGTATTTTGGGGACACATAATTTGCATACAGTAAAGTGCTCGTACCTGACTGTGATTTATTACTTAGGTGTTTTGACACCCGGTACGGGGCCTCCGTCTGAGCGGGGGAAGGCAAGTCCCCGGGCCACAGTCAGGCAGCGGGTGCACAGGGGACCCTGAGCACCCTTAAGCAGCCAGGGGAGGCCTCGCGAAGAATGAGGAGAGCCCAGAGCCTGTGCTGGCCTCACCCCCACCCTGCGCTATGTGGGGAATGGCCCAGCCTCTCTGAGAACCAGCCTCCTTGTCCAAAAAAGAGGTCTGCAGGGGGGCCCCGGGACACTCTCCTGAGGTTAACATGCAAATAAAATAAAGCCATCCATTTTCTGTTGCAAGTCATTTGCACAAATGACAAAGGACCACACAGGACTTGGGGGTCACGAACCCCTCGATTTGTTCCTCCCACGGGGGGCAGCGGGGCTGGAGGAACACGCCCAGGAGCTAGTGTGGGGCAGCTACGAGCAGACCAATACCCTCAGATCTGCCCCCGGGCGGCTGTGCGCCCTGGAAACAGCACTGAATGCTGTGACTGTGTGCTGCGGCCCCGCCCCTTCGTGCCCAGGGCCGCCGCTGCCGCAGGGCTCCGGACGCAACGTGAGCCCTGGGGAAATGTGCCCTTTCTTTCTCTGTGACTTGGCAAAGGAGAGCAGGAAAATTGTCCCACCCCAGAGACTGCTGAGGGCCCCTGGCACTGGCGTGTCCCCCGGGGTCATACGGGGGGGTTCCTGCATCTCCCCTCTGCCGACTCCAGCGGAGAGTTTTCTTCCCTAATTTCCAAACAGTGCGGCTGGAGGACAGATCACAGACTTGGTGATTCCTGTGTCTCCAGATTCCCAGGCCTGCCTCACACTCCCGCCACTTCTCAGCCCAGCCTCCAGCAGCCGGAGGAACGAAGCCTGGAGCCTGGCGTGAGGGCTGTGCTCCGGCCACCTACTGCCTGAGGGGGCCCGGCGGGCGCCCCCAGAGGAGGGCTGCCCGCTTCCCACCCTGGACAGAGGCGGCTCCCTGCTCTCAGCAGCCCTGCAGCGACCTAATGTCTTCTTCTGGGGCTGATTCCCCTTAAACCGTCCCCTCCCCCACCACATGTGTACGAGTTAAAGGTCACTGGCCCGTTGGAAGATGGGGAAATTAGGGCAAACGGAGAAGTGACCTAAAAGCTTTCCAAAACTGGGGCTTGGTCAGTTTAGAAAGAAAAGCAGGTGGGGGCGCCTGCGGGGCTCAGTCGGTTAAGCCTCTGATGCTGGCTCAGGTCATGAGCTCACCGTCTGTGGGTTCAGGCCCCGCATCAGACTCTGCTGACGCTCGGAGCCTGGAGCTGCTTCAGATTCTGTGTCTCCCTCTCTCTCTGCCTTTCCTCTGCTTGCGCTCTCCCTCCCAAAAATAAACAAATATTAAAAAAAAAAAAGAAAGACAAACAGCCCCCCCCAGGCCATCCCCCCCCTCCAGCCTGTGACCCCAGGCCCTCCCCTCTCCTGGGCTCACCTGGGTGGTGCTCCCCCAGCCCCTGAAGCCCCTCTGGCGGGTGCACGCAGACATTGTTCTTGGAGTAGATGATTTCCCCGTCCAGGACGGAGGGGGACCCGCCACCACTGCCCGGGGTGAGGGTCAGGAGGTCCGAGGCTTTGGAGGAGGCCCGGCGAAGGAGACGGCCCAGAGACATGGCGGGGGGAGGGTTTCCATCGTCCGCACGCTTCGGCCCAGGCGGGGCTCGCCCAGACGTGGCTGGGGGAGAAAGACACCGAGGAGCGCATCAGGCCAAGGTCACGGGCCTCACACCAGTGGGCTCGGAATGGACGGTGCTTCACTAACTACCGGAACAGGTCCCGCCAGCACGAGGCCACATGGAGGGCCCACGTGGTTCTAGGCTGTGGCATTCCGGATATTTGGGGCCGGGTCTTTCGTGGTGGTGGAGGCTACGCTGCCCCCAGGAGCCCCCTTCCCACTACGACAACCAAAAACGTCCCCAGGCATTGCAAACATCCCCCTGGGGGCCTAGTCGCCCCGTCTAGAGGGGCCCTGCTCCCCACAGCGAGCTCATGAAACTGCTGGACTTCTCTCTGCTCCGTCTTTACCCCTGCGTCTGTGCCAGTGAGCCCTCCCTTCCTGAACTCCTCACCCCTCCGTGGTGCTTCCCTGGGAGGGTCCCTCCTCCATCCCGTCCTTCCCGGCCCCCTCCACCCCCACGCGCCCCGTCACCCCCAGCCTCAGCCTGATGTCCCCAACACGGCGATGGGTCATCTCAGCCGGGCCATCACAAGCGGTGTTTGAAGGACCTGAGCCTGCTCACTACTCGTTCTTTAAAAAACCAGATGAGAAACAAAAGTACTCGGTGCAGTACACGTACGATCTCCTAGAGGTGACGGAGCAGCGGTACGGCCACTCTCAGGAGAGTGAAGTGAAGGCCTGAGAAGAGAAAACGTTCTCCCTCTCAAACGAAAGCCGACACCCAGCAGACCGGCCGGAAGCAATTTTTATTTGGGCGGAAACCCAACCATCAGAGGCCTGGGCACTAGCTACGTGGACCAACCAGATCCTTCCCGTCGGTCCTGCGTGGGAACGCAGGCCACCAAACTGAGCCGTGGAACGGGCCACGGGCGTGCAGAGCCATGCTGCCTCCTGGTTGGAGTCAGCGGGTGTGCAGGACTGAGACCACGCTGGGCAGCACAGGCCGGCTTCCGGGGCGGGGGGGCTGCCTCAGGGGCATCTGCGGAAGGACTTCACCCTCCTCTCTTTGAAAGGAAAAACCCAGCAGGAAGCCACTAGGGTAAAATCATTGACTGGGAACGGAAACACAAAATGTGGTCCGTCCACACAGTGGGGCATCATTGGCATTAAGAAGGAAGGAAATCCTAGGCTGCCTGGGGCTCAGGTAGTTGAGCATCTGACTCTTGGTTTCGGCTCAGGTCATGATCTCTCAGTTCATGAGTTCGAGCCCCCTGTCCGGTTCTGTGCTAACAGTGCTGAGCCTACTTGGGATTCTCTCTCTCTCTTTCTCTCTCTCTCTCTCTCTCTCTGCCCCTCCCGAACTCATGCTCTCTCTCTCTCAAAACTAAACATTTAAAAAAAAGTAAAAAGAAATGAGGAAGATTCGTTTGGGTTATATACTTTCATGTAACTCATTATTTCTCAAATAGGAGGAGTTTGGCATGTAATCAATACAGAAAAAATTACTGAGCTGTTTTACATTCTTTAAGCGTCCACAGTCTGGTGTGTGCTTTGCATTAAGCACACCCCGGTGAGGACCAGCCACGCTGCGGGGGCTCGTGGCCTCCGGTGGACGAGGCTGGAGCCCCGCCTCCTTTGGGGCCTCAAATTGTATTCCCTGGTTAATCCCTCGAACCTCCAGACCGGACTGCAAACGACTCTCATCTGATTCTGAAAACCAAACCAACGTTAAGTGAAGATGTTTGCCACCGTGGAGGGTAATCAAAAGAATGTGCAGGGAGATCTGGAAGATCCCCAAATACAAGTGCTCCCAGCACGGCGTTTTCCCGCACGGCAGATGCGAAGCGGCTGCCTGTCGCTCAAGGACACGCCTCCTGGACGGCGGTTTTGCACATGAGAAAACAGGTTCTGGGCACTCGGGGAGCAGGGAACCTAAGAGCTTTGTCCTCTGTGCTCAGAGCTCGGCTCCCACCCCCGCCACCTGGGTGGGCAGGGGACAGTCCCCCGTGCAGCTCCCAGACGCCCTGCAGAAGACCGCGTGCCCGGGGTGGGTCCGTCAAACACTAGCCGCAAATATTTACTCTGTTCACACAGCTCTTATTTCCGAGACGCATACGTGTCTTTGTCTTTCATCAAAATGAAACCGAGCTCCCAACCTCTGCGCTCTATCCAGCCACAAGAGGAGAATCCTTGACCTATTTTTTAATGTTTTTTTTTTATTTTTAATTAGGAAACATGGTCAGAGAAGTATAAAGAGGATACAAAATCCTTAAATCACACGATCCAAAAACATGTGTGTGTTTTCTCCTATCTTCTGTGCCTGTCGGAAACACGAAAACGGGGGCGCCTGGGTGGCTCTCTCCATCAGATCATGCGATTGAGCCCTGAATCCAGCTCTGGGCTGACAGTGCAGAGCCTGCTTGGAATCTCTCTCCGTCCCCCCCAACTCTGCTCTCTCTGTGCCTCCTCCTCCCCTCTGTCTCTCACTCTCTCTCTCAAAAATAAATAGGGGCACCTGGGTGGCTCAGCTGGTTAAGCATCCAACTTCGGCTCTGGTCATGATCTGGCTCATGGTTTGTGGGTTCGAGCCCCGCGTCGGGCTCTGTGCTGACAGCTCAGAGCCTGGGGCCTGTTTCAGATTCTGTGTCTCCCTCTCTCTCTGCCCCTCCCCTACTCACACTCTGTCTCTCTCTCTCAAAAATAAATACATATTTTTAACAATTAAAATAAACAAATGACCACCCACGGGGATTACACCAGGTCTTGCTTTCAGTCATAGGATAAATGTGTTTCTCCACGTGTTCATGAGTCAAAGCGTGAGCCCCCACATTCACACGGTGCGGCTCTAACCTCCCACACCTCGGAATGTGGCTGTATGTGGCAATGGGTCTTTACAGAGGTGACTACGTTGGAAGCGGGCCGTTAGGGCAGCCGGGATCCAATGTGGTTCCTGCCCTTAATAAGGAGGAAATGTAGACATAGACGAGGTGTCCAGGATGGGGTACAGGGTTTCACAGGATGTGACCCAGGGAGGGAGACCGGGAGGGCTGACGGGCAGGAGGGGAGCGGTGGGAAGGGGTGGGGGCAGGGGGCTGCGGGCGGGGTGGCACACAGGGAAGCTCTGAGTGAGCGGAGCCTCCCGGCGGGGAGGGGGAGAGGATGAAAAACTCGAGGGGGGGATCCTGAACACTCTGGTCACCAAGGAGCTGTGCCCTTCGAGATGGCCTGAGTGCCTTTACCACAATGAAATGCCATAATAATAGTGTGGGGGGCGCCCAGGGGGCTCGGTCAGTAAGCAAAGGACTCCTGATCTCAGCTCGGGTCATGATCTCATGATCACGGGTTGAGCCTCACGCTGGGCTCTGGGCCAACAGTGCAGAGCCTGCTTGGGATTCTCTCCCTCTCTGCCCCTCCCCTGCTCATTCTCTCCCTCTCTGCCCCTCCCCTGCTCATTCTCTCCCTCGCTGCCCCTCCCCTGCTCATTCTCTCCCTCGCTGCCCCTCCCCTGCTCATTCTCTCCCTCTCAATCTCTCTCTCTCTCAAAATAAATAAACATTTTAAATAACTAAAATTTAGTAATAACAGTGAAACTGGAGAGGGGTGTACAGACACTCTCTGTACTTTCTGATCTTTTTTTTTTGTAAACCTAAAACCCTCTAAAAAGTCAAATTTATTAATAATAATTTTTAAAAAAGAGAGCAGAGGCCAGAGGGCAGGCACCCACAGAAGCCAGGCGGATAGTGAACTCGGGCGGATGGAGGCCAGGAACAGGCAGGGGCTAGAGACGGGGCTGGCGGCAGCAGGTGACAAAGGGCCTGGCGCCCATGCCGAGGGCCACTGCCAGCAGCGATGCTGGGGTCTGGCACGGGCACCTCCCCAGTGTCCTTGAATCCAAGAGATGCATGACCTTGAATGCTTCTTGCTCACAACCAGCAGAGCGGCTGCGCCCACGGCCTTAGGGACCTGGTGTCCCGTGGGGACGGGAGGAGCAAAGAGGACCGCCCTCCTGGCAGACCAGAAAGCTGTGCTCCAGAAAGCTTCCCGGGGAACAGAATTCTGAGCGGACAACACCCAGGTCACATTCTGTGGGTCCGGGTCCCCCTCTGGGCTGGATGACTTGTTCTGTTTGTACAGAGCTGGGGGCAGGGGCACAATCTTGAAATGACAAGCAGACACCCTAAGACACACAAAACCAATTAACACTCGAACTACTGAACTTTGCTCTAGCAAGGACGCAGAGTTGATGGAAATCAGGGCCGAGGCGCTCCCAGCACTGGGGACCAACGTTTCAGAGCCTCTCCCCAAATCCCGAGAGACGAAGGTGGACAGAGAAGCCGTGCAGGGAAGATTCATGACAGTGATACAAACGTCACTCCCCGAGAGTGCGTTCACGTAATTCTTCTCCCTCAAAGTGGTTATGCCCCCATCAGTATTAGCGATTTTAGAATAAGTTCCTGAGTCCGAGACCTCTCGGAAAAGTCCCTTTGGTGACTGATGTGCCTTCCGGAACGCCACCTCCAATAAAGTTCCAAGTGCTTTGTTTTTGTTGATGGAAAGGACACAATGCCAACCTTGCAGCTGGCTCATGGAATACAGACATGGAGTGAGGCCAAGATCTAGAATGAGCATCAGCTTGGGCATACAAAAAAAAAAAAAAAAAGGAATGCTTTTAAAAGGTATAAACTAAAAATGCCAGTGTGGTTCTTAGCCATCTGACTGAGGCCAGATTACAAGCGGAGCTCTGTGCTGCCCTGAGCCATCAGTGACCGCTAGGTTGGGCCAGATCTGTGCAAAAGAGGCTATTGTGTCATTGGAAAGGAGAGAACTTGGCCTCCTCTCAAACCACACGCACGCTTACAACACGGAGCTCCGGCCGCAGCGGGTCCCTGCCGGGCCCCCCTCACCGCAGCTCATGGCCTGCAGGGTAAGGGAACCAGCAGACAGGAGAGGGGTTTTGAGGTGGCTGGAGAATGGGGAGCTGGGGGGTGGGGGCGGGCGGGAGTTTATCTCACAGCCTGGGACTGGCCCGGGGCCCGGATGCAGCCAGCAGGAGGCGG